CACTCCCCTCCCTCATTATTGTAAGCCGCCCTGAGTCCCCTCAGGGAAAAGGGCGGCCTATAAGTGTTCAATAAAACTCATAAAACTCACAGCCAGATGCCATGTGGTTCATCACATCAGTATCATCACTTAAAGTAGGAGGTCACATGACACATCACACTGGTGCCACTGCTCATGGCAGAAGGCCACATGGGTCATTGCACTGGTGCCGCAGCTTGCAGGAGGCGGCAGTATGGCATGTTGTGAAATTGCATACATGAGCAGCAATACCGACATGATGAGCCATGTAGCCTCCTATTACAAGTAGCGTGATGAGTGGTCGCAGAAGTCAGTCAGCAGCATGACAGGTGTTGGGGCATGGGGGGGTCCTAAGGTAAGCAGGTCCAGGGCGCATTGGCAGCTCCACCCCAACCTCCAGCTTGCTTTTTATGCATACACCTTGCCCCACCTTGTATAACCAGATGATGGGGTGGAATGGGCGGGGCTTAACTAGGGCTTATTTTGGGGATAGGGCTTGTATTAGGTGCAGGTGTGAAAATCGGGCTAAGGCTTGTTTTCAGGTTAGGTCATATATTTGGGGAAACACTGTATTAACAGAGACAAAACGGAACTAGATAAGAATGTTAAAAAATCTGAATTAAAAGAACAAAAAAAGAAAAACACTCATCCTCACTAGTTGAACACTGAAAATCTATTACAACAATAATAACGTCCCCCTTTACAAAACAGATCCAACATTTCTAAGCTTCTACATCTATTTGTGACCCAACTGACCTGTCATTCATTATACATATAAAAGAAAAAAAATAGTTAACAGGTTAAACAACAGCGGTTAAAGTTCAAGGCACTCTTGTTAACAGACTGTTTTTATAATTTACTCATAGAAAGTCTGAACAGTTTACTCATAGAAAGTCTGAACAGTTTCTTATTTACCACAAATCACCCCAAACATTATCTTTGGTCTGTCCAGAATCAAATAATCTCATTTGTTAAATTTTATTCTCCTTAACAACACTATAATTTTCTTACCAAGAAAGTCCAGTCCATCCTTTATCAATTCCATTGTCTCAGAATTTGTTATATTTATATTCCTTTCAATCTTGTCTGGCAGGTTTGTATTTACCAAACCAAGTACATTTGATAGCAATAAATCAGGTTTTGTCCAGTTGCAAATAAGTCCAACTGTTATTTTCTGCTTTTGAATATTGTCTTGAGTTTGCACAACTGTTATTGACTATTATTATACATAAACAATTTTTGTTTATATATAAAATAAAACCTGTTTCAAATAAAGGAAACCTTTTTTCAAATGCTTCCCAGAAAATCTTATCTCCTTTTAGAAACATTTGAGAAATCCACTCTTTTTTCTTTAAGGATAAGAGAAGCACGTCAGACAAAGCCCTGTGTCCACAATGAAAGGTTTCCCCCCCCCAGAAATCAATAATGATTAAAGAAAGAGAATTTTTCCCATAAAATATTAAGAAATAAATATCAATTTTTTTTAAAAAAAAAGCTAGAAAGAGTAAAAATTATAATATAATCCTGTGTAAATGCAAGTCCAATTGGATTACTTTCACTGCCATCCCCCCAAATACTTTCATCACAAACCTCTTTACGGCTAAAACGAAAGCAGTTTGGAATTTAATAGTAAATGCTGAAAGGACAAAAAAAATTGTAAAAGTCCATCAAGGGGTTATAAAATAGGTTAGAAGTCAACCAGTCATAAATCATAGTAAAGCCACCAAATAACCAGCTTTGGGAGCAAAATCAGCTGTTTGTTGGCAGGAGAAAAAGAACATCCCCAGCTTGGGGACGAGTCCATATCTCTGTCATATTATTCAACCTCTCTTTTATGGCACCGGCTATTGTTCTGACATATCTAATTGATCAGGCATTTCTTTTTAATGTACAAAGCACTAGTCTGCCATTAGAACAACTAAATGAATCTGCTTTGTTTCAAAAACATTATAACATTGTCCATTGAAATGGCAGGACTGTTTCATGTATCACATACAGAGTCTTCCCAATTCTTTAAATTCATCATTTAAATGATCCTGTAAAATATACCTTTCATTTAAACATAAACAGATATGTAAAAACAATAATAACAAATTCAGTTTATAAAGTTATATTTAGAGATGTTGATTTGGTAGTGTTTATTTTAATTCTAGATCAAAGGAAGAGTTACAAACCTTCTCCAATTTCATGAAGGAAATCTGGCCTGTGGTAGGAAGAGAAGTGCTTTCTGCCTTTGACCTGTCCCAGTTCCCACTCATTTGCGATCTGGGTGGTAAGTATAACCAGTGCTTTGCCAACTTCTTTACATGTTGGACCAATGCACTGATTGAATTCTTAGCTTCTTTTACAAATCCTCTCATCTGTAACTAGAAAAGGAGGAAACCTTATAGCAAAACAAAGATGTTGATACCAAATTTTGACAAATACCCCTATTTTAAAGTGGATTAACTAATCACTCTGACATGATACTATATAGTAGAGATATTGGCACAAACTATTTAAAAATGGGTGACAATTCAGAAAACAGTCTTTTCCTGCCTTTTTTTAGTGCTAGCCAAGATGGAAGGAACAGAAATCAGAGAATAACAGGCTTATGAACAAAGGATCCAAAAACTGGATTTGCCTGGGGAGCATTTTGGGGGTGCAAAAAACATGACTGAAGATGTTACAGGATTTGGTGCTCTTTGAGATGATGTTTAGGGTTTTTTTCCCCTGCTCAATCTGTATCAAATATCATTTCTCTGGACATTGTGAATATTCAGTGCATCCATCCTTAAGGAATTCTCATAGCATTGGAATTCTCAGTATGAACATTGAGAAGCAATTGGCTCAATATCTGTTCTTTTTCCCCTGTTAGTACTTGTTTACCATGATAAGAGGAGCATATCAAATTTGAAAGATGTTTGTCTCATTTTTTTAAAAAAATATTAGATTCCAATTAATCTGATGTGCAGCGGTAAAGAAATAATAGACAGGTAGCTTCAGGTAAAAAAGCTAGACTTGTACAAAAGTTTGTTTTTCAGTTACGTAATTATGTTTTGTGCTGTCTTTAAGGAAACACTGGTGGCTTAGCTAAGGAATTGATTTCACTCTACCCAAGATGTACTGTGACCATTTTTGACCTTCCTAAACTAGCAGAAGCCTCCAAGAACCATTATTTGCCTTCAGGAGAGACCCGGATCACTTTCCATGCAGGTAAAAGATGTGATGTTCCATGTGGATTGAACTCATGTCTTGCTAAGCACAAGAAGCTTTAGCAGGCAGAAGGGCAGACTGGGTTAGGATGCTGTGATTTTGAAAGGAAGAACAGATTATTCTGTCAGAATCACATGGAAGACATAGTGCTTTATGAGATTTTACTTATTTTTTGTAGGTGATTTTTTAAAAGATCCCATTCCTGAAACAGACCTGTACATTTTGGCCAGGACTCTGCATGACTGGTCAGATGAGAAATGTCTGCAGCTGTTACGCAAAGTTTACCAGGCCTGCAAACCTGGTAGGTATTATTTAAGCACGGAAATTTAAATCAGCTAGGAAACTGGTAAGGTTCACAAATGGTTCAGGTTTTCAATTTCCTGAAATCTAGTATAATTTAAAATTCAAGATCCAACTTTTCTGACCTTTGAATTGGCATCTTAGAATAACTAATTCAATTGTAGTGCTGGAAAAATTGTGGTTCCAGATTAATTCTAGCAGTTACTTCTGCTCTATATCCCAAAGGATTTGTGTTGGTCAGATCAGATTTAAACATATTTTAGTGGCTGTGTTATGAAAAATGTAACTAGTAAGACCTATCAATGTGTCCCTGTAACTCTTTTCTACTTCTTGGCAATATAGCTATCAGGAATCCTTCTAAACGTGTTGTAAAAATGATTGCGTTGATAACTAATAGTCTGTTCATGGTGGAAGAATATAAAAACAAGCCAATTTCCTGTACTTACCAACAAATTTCAGATTGCTAACTGGTGTTGTAGTTCATGCAGTCCAACCGCATTTACATGAAAACAAGCTCTTTCCACCTAAGCAGAAAGAAAATTGTCCAAAAAGTAAAGGAACAAAATGTCAGCGATTTTGGAAAACTGCAAGAGAAGATTAACTAGAATGTAGCTTGGATTCATTACAAGAAGGCATTCAACTCCCTGCTGCATGATTGGATAATTCAATGCCTAGAAATAATAGGAGTCAGTAGTAATGTCTGACGATTTGTACAAAGACCAAAGGAACAATGGAAAATACTATTGCTAGTAAGTGGGCATAGGGTTTAATATCAAGAGAGGAATCTTTCAGGGAGACCCACTATTACCACTACTGCTTATCATTATCATATTTTTTGGAGTATAAGATGCATCTTTTCCCCCCCTAAAAGAGAGTAAAAATTTGAGTGCGTCTTATACACCAAATGTAGCCCCGCCCATCCACTGGCTCCCACCCTTTGGCCTCTGACTCCCAGCAATTTATCTCCTTGCAGCAAATGGAGAAAATGAGGCTTGCAGAACTGGCAATATGCTATGGCAATCCCTGCAGCCTGAAACAGCTGATCATCGGGAGCCCCATGCTTAAACTGAAATTGAAATTGAAACTTGCTGTTTGCTGCAATTGCTGGGAGCCATTGGCAGATTTTTTCTTCTTCTGATCAAGCTAAACTGAAATAGGCTGTTTGCTGCAAGGAGGTCAATAACTTTAAATGCCTATAAAATGTTCAAATTATTAGACTTGTTTTGTAAAGACTGCTTTATTATTATCCTAGACAACTTAACAAAATGAAGAAGCTTTTTAAAATAAATGCTTGATCTGAAGAGGCCCACTGCTATTGTATCTTCTTTTAAATAGCAGAGAATAATGTATACTTCCAGAAAGTCACATCAATTTTAGCAGCATCTGTACAAGTATAGTTTGAAATGTAACACCACAAACAGTGTATATATTCTGTACTGTTCTGTTTGGTNATCTGTAGGTTAGTTTCCTGGCTCAAATATGCTCTTCTTTTGCCAATAAGAAACTAATAATAAGTTTATAAAATTTGATTACACCATGATAGGTGTAATAATGTAAATTCCTTAGTAGGTTTTCATAACATCGTGTTTTATTACCAGATGATTAAAGCTTCATGTTTGTTACAGAATTTCCACATCCTGTGGACTAACATTGATCTCCACGAATAATCTTCCACCAATTTACTAAATAATCTAGTGACTGTATATTTTCCTGCATGTTTTAACTCTAATCTTGCAACAAAAACTATATGTGGGGTTTCAGGAATGTTTTCTATAATAGATAGGAGGTTCAACATTTATTATTGTATTAATTTAATTAGTATTCATAAAGCATTAAACAATTTTAACTCTGCAAACTATTGTGACAGTAAGGTGGATAATACTTTTTAATAGTTGTGAAAACAATAGAATCACCAAAGTTTATATTGTAATTTGCTAAAGAATTTAATGATTGTACATCCTTCTTCATGTTTTTGACTCTACTATTGCAACAAAGTCTATATCTGTCCTATATCTAATCCCTGAGTTTAGAAATTTATTTGCTAAATTTGGGTTGAATTTATTTCAGGAAATTTTGAATTCTAAATGTGAGGTGTCAACAGTGTTTATTATAGTAGAAGGCAGCTTCAACATTTATTCTTGTATTGGTTTAATTACTAAAACATTAATTATTCTTTTTTAACTCATTGTTGTGCCACTAAGAAAGAGGTGAAATCAATATTTTTTTCTGCCATAAATCTTTGCTTCCCCAATGGTTTGTTCCCATATTACGGGTATCATGTTTTTTTTTACTACAGTAAGGTAGGACCATATATTCTTTTCTTCAGGCCCACCCCCCTTGATTATCTCCCAATAAAAGCATAGAGTACATATTTTTAAAAAGTGGAGTTTGTATCATAGTGATATAATGGGATATCTGTCTTTCTGTTCCCCTTTCTTCTCCATCAAGAATGCTGATTTTTTGACTACCTTCCTTTAAGGTAGTCTAAGTTTAAGGATTAAACACATTACCAGCCATGGTCCCAGTAGCATTCAAGGCCAAAATGTTCCTTCTATGAAATGGGGCCCAAGATAAATAAATCTGGTTGCTCAGATTGTGCAGAGTATCTGCTATTTCTCTATCCCTCCCTCTTCCTCTCTTTCTTTCTCTGTGTCATTCTCTCTCTCATTCTTTCTCTCTCACACACACACACACAAACACTTTCTCTCTCTATCTTTGTGTGCACTTGTATGTATAGATTTTGTTTATTATTGGAGTTTTGAAACTCCACTAATAAATTGAACAAAGCCTAGGGTGAAGAAGAAAAGAATATTAGTTGTTTAATATTTTTATTTATTATTTTATTAGTTGTTACTACACCTTTCTCCTCTTGCTCCCAGAGTTGGTAGGGTTGATAATACATGTGTAGCCCTGCTTGATTCATTCTTTGGTAAACCACACAAATAGATTCTGGGATTGTTGGATGTGAACTGAGAGGAAAGCCATGGCTTTTTTTCTTGCTGTTTCTTCCTAGATCATTTCAACTGCCTGTGAACTGGGTGTCTTTGATCTGCTGAGAGAGTCGAGGGAACAGCTGTCTTCCACAACTATTGCAGAACGCTTGAGCACCAGCCCCATTGGGATGCAGAAGCTGCTGGAGGCCTGTGTGGGGTTAAAGTTCCTGACACTGGAGTGCAAAGATGGCAAAGGTAATCTTGTGAGAAGCAGGGCGCAAATGGAATGGCCAACAATTATTCCATAATAATAGGCAATACATGACTGCACCTGTTGAGCTTGACAGATCCAAGAGTTTGCAGAAGGGGGGATTCCAGGAATCACATGCCAGAAAGCTGGTACAGTGAGACCTTTGGGTCCTAAATGGCTCAGACCATGAACAATGAGAGTGTCAACTGAAAAATCCGCTAAATTCACTAAATCCACTTCACTCAGGTCACAAACACATCCTGGGGTGCCGAATAAACATAGCTGCAGCAATTTCCCCTTCTGTGCCGTTTTCTTTAATGTGTGCGCCTGCGCAGTCTGTCTTTCTTCTGGTCATGACCAAATTGGGTGCTGACCGAAGTCTGGAACGGATTACAGTCGGCACCCGAGGTCCCACTATATGGTATGTAGTAACTGGATTTGTGTCTGTATTTTTATGTGTTGATCAGTTTATCACTTTCTTTGAGATTTGGTCCAGTCTGCTTCACAGCACCTTTTTGGTCTTCCCAATGTTTTATATCCATT